GTTGTTACAGGAGCTGCTGCCCACTAGGCCAGGTGGTCCCCAAACCTGCTTAGCACGGAGCCCATCACCTTGCACCTGAACTGCCACCTGGAGGCGAGAGCAAGGAAGGACCCACAGAGAGACGCCCGATGCTGCCCTACATCCTCGTAGGTCAGTCTGATGCCAAGTGGGGCCTTTGTTAATCTTGTGTGAATAAATGTTTAGTTAGACCCAGGACCCCCCAGCATGGGCGTAGCAGAAGCCTTCCTATTTTAATGAACATACTGTTATATATAAACTAACCATTCCACTCCTGACCTTATTAATACATTTGACCTCATGAGATGATTTGCACAAATAAACAAAAAGATCCTCCTGAAATCTTATTTACATATTGAATCTGTTGAGCAAAGCCTGTTCTCTGATAAGCTACAAATGATACTGCCCAGGCTATGCACAAAATTCACTGGAACTAAGAGGATGACGACTGAGTGTGGGTCTCATCTGGCCTGGTTCACTTTGCTCAAAGTCCAGCTGAGAGCTCTCTCACCCTCCACCAGAAGGCAGAGGGGAATGTGTTCATACACAAACAATACGGAAGTGCTGGAGGGAAAACAGAAGAATTTCTTCAAGGGATAAAGTGTGAGAAGGTCACAGAATGGAATATTCATATTTATATACAAAAGACTATGCCTTTAAAGGCATAAAGTGTGATTCCATTTATAAAAAAGGGACTTAGATATATCATATATTCACATACAAACATAATATATGCATGCAAGGATTCCCATCCAAGTATTAAGGGCAGTTACAACCATTCTCCAGGGCAAGGGGAAAGGGGACTGACCTTGTATGACTGATATTTTATACGGCTTGTATTTTCAAAGTAAGATGTGTCTGGGAAGGAATTACTTCTATAATTAAAAAACAAAACTGTAATTGAAAATTACCTTCAAAAAGGATTTTCAAAAAAGGAGACAGTTAACAACAGAATTCCTTTTTAATACTGAGCTTCTCCTATGCATTTAAAATGCGATTGGTTCAGAAACCCAGTTTACCCTTTCAGATGCTCTGATAAGAGAGAGCAAATCATTTGTATTATAAGCAGACAAATGTGGAAATCTAAAGACAGACAACTTATTGCACATGTAAGAATTGTTAGGTTTTTCCTTTTCCCAAAACTGTGGCTGTGGGAGCCCTGGACTGAAGGTCAAGATGACCAGAATCCCTGAGATTGCACCCTATTGATTTTCTGAATGGCTGGCTATAAGGAATCAGTGCCAATTTATCCATGGAAGTGTGGTCACGAAGTCAGAAGGAGAAGAACGCTCAATAAGAACTTTGGTGAGACTCTAGAAAACCCCCAGTGTCTATGTCTAACTGTATCTATAGGATTAGACCCAGAGATCTATGTCAGGGTTTCTCAATCTTTTTTTTCATTAGGACCCTTTAAGGAACCTTCTTCCTAATGTTTTTTTTCTAGTCGTCACCCATAAGCCCCCAGTGAAGTTTTAATTCCACAGACATACACTGCGTATCTTTTTATGCATGTAGCTCTTTGGAGAGCCACAAACTATTATAATAACAAGAGGGCTTTCTTGCCTCCCTCCCTCAAGAACCAATTCTTGCTCCTTTGAGGGAGATTTCAGCCCTTTTGAGAAAGTATACTCTCCCTCCCTCTGCCCCTCTCCTTGTTTCTCTCTCTCTCCCTCTGTGTGTGTGTGTGTGTGTGTGTGTTTATACATAGAAAACAAAGGACCAGCATATACTTGCCACCCTCTTCAATATATTTCTGTATTGTCTCAATTTCCACAATAATCAACTATTCCTTTTATCAGAGAAAAAAGAATAGTCTCCTTCCCCCTTGTGCATATGTGTATGTGTATATGTGTATGTGTGTACGTTTTAGTAATACCATTTGAGTAAAAATACTTAAATCAAATGCAAAAAAAAAGGAAATGAAAAGAAGAAAGTTAAAAAGGTCTTGAGAATAAATACAAAGCAAGAGAAATGGTTTTGACTGAGCCCGATCACAGCAGCTCTGACATATTCCACATACGTAGACTGCAAGGCTCCCGAAGGAGATGAGAGACATGCTGTAGCTAATAGTTCCTTGTTTCCCTGCCATGCTTTTTTCTAAAAATGTCCATGAGATACTCAGACCAGCTGAGAAACACTACTGCATGTGTGCCTGAGAGTGCCAAGGATAAAGGGTCTAAAACACAGCCATCCTCCAACCCAAGATTTACTGGCTGTTGGTGGTTGAAAACTCACAAGAATCAATGGTTTTGAAAGATTCATATCTGTTCAGAAAGACCTGTGACTTCTGAAACCCTGCTTCATCCCGTTAAGGGGAAATAAGGGCACACTGAGTACTGCCAAGTTGGCAACAAAGGGCCGCCAGGCAGCGGTAGCAGGGCTGAAGAAGAGAAGCAACCAGATGTGAATCTAACAACCAGAACCAGAATGAGCCGAGTAGCTCGCCAAGTGCCCTTGGCTATATTCCACAGGGTAAAAGGCTAGCTTCTCCAACCCTCCCACCTGCTCCCGGATGGGCTTTATTCTAGAATCAAAGCTGTCCAGAGGGGGAAGAGCCCTTAGATTAAGGAATGAATCAATGAATGAAAAGATATCTGAAACAAGTCTCACAAAATAATACAAATAGCCTCACCACACGTGATACATCCCAATATAATCTAGTCTATTCTATTTCATTTCTTAAATGCTGGTCACAGCCCGCTAGAATGACGCTGCCATCCACTAGTGGGTCATAGCCACAGATTGAAAAACCCAATGTATTCTGATGCCTTGGTTCACAGGTGAGAAAGTTGAGACTCAGAGAGGTTAAATCTGAGGTCACAGGGCTACTTCCAGGCAGAACAAGGACTAGCTCAGATCAAGGAAAATGTTGGTTATTGTTATTGGTCAATTTATTGGAACTCAACTGAATGAATGTCTAAAAACCCTTCCTTCCTCTCTCTCTGGTGAGAGTTAATCTCTGTCCCTGCTCCCCCTGCCCACACAGTTCAAGGTCCCGCTATCTCTGCCTTGAATTTTTTTTTTAACTCCCAAAGGCCAGCTGCCATAATGTCCCCATGAACCTGGCGGGAAGTTCCCAGGTGAAGTGGTCACACTGCTTGACCCACATCACCAAACTCTCCACTCTGCCGCCTCCATGCTGTGAACCTCAGCATCCCCTGAGGTGAGCAAGGGGAAGTACCTTCCTGGAGGAAGTGCTGAGCTTGCAAAACCAAACAGAAGAACCCTGATGGGCAGACTGAACTGGCCTGAATCCTAACAGAGAATATCCAAAACAACAGAAGATTGTCAATTTGAATAGAAGGCCAAGTGGATTTGGAAGACCTTGAGAAAGTGGGCAATTCAACCCTATGAGGACAAAAAATAAATCCCTCAGGGATCTGAGGAAAGGCCCACTAAATTTAAAGTATGGTCCTGGCATAAAAACAAGACACGCAGACCAATGGAACAGAATTGAGAGCCCGGAACCAAACCACGCACATGTGGTCAACGAATATCTGACAAGGGAGCCAAGGATACTCAGTGAGCAAAGGACGGTCTCTTCCCCAAGTGATGGGAAAACCAGATGTTCACACACAAAGGAATGAAACTGGATCCCTGTCTCACACCACTCACGGAAGTTAATCAAAGTAGATTAAAGACTTAAATGTAAGACCTGAAACTGTAAAACTCCTAGACGAAAACAGAGGAAAAAAGCTCCTTAACTGTGGGTCTTCACACACAGGAAATGAAATTAAACTTCCCCCACATCATAGCTGCAGGGCTCCTGGCATGGGCGCCTGGCCTTTCACACTCTGGGCCCCAAATCTAGACTTGTTATAGAATCTCCTACTAAGATTATACATAATCATTTTATCCTCTATGCTTACCCACTGTTTTGTTAAATATAAATATTTAAAACATGCTACCTACTTTCATAACCCTGTTTAGAATTTCCTGTTTTTAATACACTGCAAACCTCCAAAGAATGCAAGGGACCTAGGCCACAGTCAGCCTCAGAGGGGCCCTGCAGAGGGCTGTCCATGTCTCTCACTAGCCACACACAGTCCCAGATACTGTGTCACCCTCTGTTGGCAGCAAGACCACCCAGACCAGAGGCAGGCACACCCTGCACCCACTTCCATGATTTTCTCCCTTGGGTGCCTACAATGCCCCCTAAGCTTGCTCTGATAGTCCATTTCTCCACTCCCCTAGTCCACTCCCCACCCAAGCAGACCTGGACATGCCCTTAATTATAAGTGTTGAGCATGTCCCACATACATGGACACGTGTGTCATCCAGTATGGTAACCCCTTGTCCCATCAGCCATTCCACACTTGGAAGGCAGCGAGTCTGAGCTAAGCTGAGTTGCAGGTGTAAAATACACACTGGATACCAAACAGTGTGGAAAAAAGAATGTAAAATAGTTCAGTATGACATGCAATTCAGTAAAAATGCAATAATGTCTTACTTGAGTCTATGTTGAAATGATAATAGTTTTATATATTGGGTTAAATGACGCTGATGAAAATTAGTATCACTTATTTCTTTTTACTCTTTCTGATATGGCTACTAGAAAATTTAAGGTTGCACAGGCACCTCATATCCTATTTTAGGGGTGGCACTAGGGTAGACTCTGCAGGCGCTGGTGAATTTCCCAGGTCAAGTGCCCGATAGTATTTTTGGCTTTGTTGGCCATAGACCGTAACGTGGCCACCACAGCAGGAAAGCAGCCACAGATAATACATACAGGCATGCTCTGGCTGCGCTGCAGTCAATTCATATTTGGCCCCTAGTCTATAGCTCACCACCCCCTACTTTAGGGTATTAATAGTATAAAAAAGCATCATTTCTTAGAAGTTCCATTCCATTAATTTTTTCACAGGCCCTCAGTGGAAAGCCACCTTTCATTCAACCAGAGGACAGAAACACAGTCAACTGGAGGCTTCCCTGGCCTAGGAGGGCCCCTTGAGCACCCCTGGGTGCCCCCCAAAAGTACTTACTTGGGCGTGTGGGCCTCTTCTATACGGTGACCCAGCTGGAATTCATGGGACTTGCTCCGATGCAGGGCTGTGAAACCCGGAATCAAGTGGATCAGCTTTCGGGAGGAGGGTGGTGGGGTCCCAGGGGGCTTCAGCTTGTTCTTCCTCCTGATGGGTGGTGTGCCAGGCGGGGTCACGGTGGTGACGATATTGGGAGTACGTGGCGGGGTGCGGACTGCATGCCGCTGCCGGGGCGACGGGGGCAGGGAACGGTGGCCTGACTCCAGTGGCAGTGGTGGGCACAGGCCTGGGTAGGAGTCCACGGTGAGCCTGTCCACATGGGTATACACGGGGGCCCCGGGGGTGGGGCTGGTGTGACAGTAGTGCTGGGCACACTTGGACTGGACCCTAGGGCTCTGGGAGAGGTGGGTGCGGATCCACAGAGTCGGCTCTGGGGGGCACACAGGATTGTTCTCCTTGCCCGTCTCCGTGGTGGGCCACTGGATGGTCCAGTCTTGTTTGGAAAGGTTGCCTCCTGAGTTGGAACAAAGAAGCAGAGAGGCAATGCATAAGCCATGAGAAAGCCAGCAGGTTACACTAGAAGATGTCCTGGCATATGTACATTGTACCCTAAACACACCATTTCCTATGCTGGTTAGAGCAGATACACACGGCACCATATGCCCATTTACAAAAATTCAGCCACCAAAAAAGAGAATGAAATCCCTTTGTTGATGCCTCACCATGACACCCCTGTACAGCCTTGCCCTCTGCTGCCCCATGGTCAGGGAGCTCACAACTCAAATGTCCAAAAAAGTTCGTTGTCTCCTTTTGAGCTTCCAAGCATCTCAGTTCCAGAAGTTTCAAGGTGATTTAAAGGATCTTCAAGGATAACCCTTCCCTTTCATAGCAATTTACATAGCCAACCCCCATATGAGATACGTGAATTCTATAAAAGTCAAGTCCCCCCGTGTATATTTAGCCACTACACATTTCTCCCAGATCTGTGTGCCAGGATCACGCACTCATTCAGTAAACACTTTCTGAGTATGTCAGGTACTATGTATGCTTGGAAAAGGCACAGTAGACCACGCACAGGTCCCCTGGACTTCTGTTCTGCCTTAAGGAGAGACATGACAGATGAGAACACAGACTTGTGAAAGGATTTCGGATGGTATTAGTGCCGGGAGGGAAACAAACTGAATGGCGTGAAAAGCAGACTAGCAATGGTGAATGGTCAAACACACAATACGTGCACGGAACACCACTCAGCCACAAGAAGGACTGAACCGCTGATTCACGCGACAACCAGGATGATTCTCCAGGGAACTGTGCTGAGCAAAAAAAGCCAATCCCAAAGGTGACATATCGGATGACTTCTTTTTTATACTGTATTTGAAATGACATTTTTGAAATGGAGGGTAGACTGGATGCTGCCAGGGGTTAGGGATGGAGGACACAGGCAGGAGGGAAGTGGGTGGGGCTATAAAAGGACAGGACACTTGTGGAGTTGGAACTGTCCTGTATCTTCATTGTGGGGGTGAATATGTGGACCCAGCCATTTGAAAAACTGCCTAAGACTAAATACACACACATAAGAACATGCAAAACTGGAGAAATCTGATCAGTGGGTTGTGTCAGTGTCGGTATTCTGACTGTAATATTCTACGATAGTTTTGCAAACAGTTACCACTGGGAGAAACTGGGCAAACAGTCCAAGGGATCTGTTATGGGCTGCATGGTTATGTCACTCCAAGTGCGTATGTTGAAATCCTAACCCCCAAGGGGGTGGTTGGTATTCAGAGGCAGTTAGGTTAAGACAAGGGAGAACAGAGCCGTCATGATGGGGTTGGTGGCCTTATAAGGAGATGAAGAGACAAGCGGTCCAAGGAAAGGCCAGGAGGTCAAGTAGATGACTGTCTACAAGCCAGGAAGAAAGCCCTCAACAAAAACCGAATCGGCCAGCACCTTGATCTTGGACTTCCAGCCTCCAGAAATATGAGAAATAAATGTCTATTATTTAAGCCACCCCATTTGGGCATGTGTTACACCCTGAACTATGACACGATCTCTCTGTATTATTTCTCACAATAACACATGCATCTACAATCTACAACCAATAAAACTTCAACTGAAAAAATTAAAACTAAGAGTTGTGGGGGAAGGCTTACTTTAGGTAGAATGATCGGCCTCCTGAGGAAGTGACATTTAAGCTGGCATCGGAGGACAAGGAGCTCTCCATGCCAGCAGCTGGGGGAAGGGCATGGCAGGTGAGGGGAGAGGGGAGGCAGTGCCGAGGGCAAACACACCGAGGGGCGCAGGGGCTTTCCTGCTTAAGTTTTAAAACAGTTAATTCGAAAACAATGGAGACGTTAAAAAAAAAATCCCACTGTCTGAATGCAACTTGAGGTTTTTCAGCCCTGGTATAAGCTACAACAAAAAATAAAAATAAAAAATCCAATTGTACATTAACATTTTTCTACTTATGTGCTGTATGGAGAGTAAAATACAAGTTGGGTCTAACTGCACAGACACCCCAGCTACAGCGCGCAGCGTTTCTCATCCTCCCAGCCAGGACCAACAACGCGAAGCCTACAGGCTCCAGAACCATCCGCTTAGGACAGGCACTCTCCGAGGCCCCTTTCTGGGTGCCTTGTCGAAGGCAGTGTACCCAAGGTGTGGTTCAAGGAAAAGAGGAGGGGACAGGCGAGGGACAGGCCATCAGGCCCGAGGGCCAAGGTGCAGTACAGACTTTACACCAAGTTCAGTGGGAATTGAGGGTTTTGCTGTAAAGTTCACTTCCCAGAGATCCCTTGGGGTGCTGCCTGGACAAGGAGAGCCTGGCGGATGGGTGCTGCAGGGCTCCACACAGAGACGATGGTGCTCCCACCTGGGTGATGGCCGCAAAGACGGAGAGGAGTCAGAGGGGGGTCAGTGGATGGGAAAGCAGGACCGGGCAGAAGGTGATCGAGTGAGCCCTCCCACTCCGGGCCAAGGAAGGAGATTCGGGGCAGAAATAAATCCCAAATCGTAGCTGACCAGCACTAGCAAATATAATTACTATAAGGACCGTAACAAGAGCTAATTTATAGAGCATTTGACAGTTTGCAAAGCACTTTGATGAACACTGACTCACTGCCCCGCTTCTAATTAAAACAACTCATTTTGTTATTATATATTCATTATAGAGAAATAAGAAAATTCAGATAAGGAGAAAGGCAATGTTTTTCCATAGCCCAGCCATCATCCCTATTAATGTTTGTGGAGCCTGCCAGATGGTTTCTGAGCGCATTTTTTTTTAAGAAATGCCATAAGATCTTATTTAATGGCTTGTCATCTGCTTTCTTCACTTGTTATATATGGAACTGTTTTACATCTTACTTAATTGTTGTAACCCTGTGTGCAAAGGGCCCTTTTGACCTCCACTTTGCAGGTGAGGAAATAGATGTGCAGAGATTAAGACATGCCCATTGTTACAACAGAGACAGGGAACTGGCAGCCAGGATTCAAACCCAGGACCTGGGACCTGCATTTATCGAAGACCAGGGCCACCATGGATGAGCCACCTAGGAACAGAAGCTGGAGACAGGGTTCGTTTCTGACAAGTCTCCCTTCTACCTCCTCCCAGACTTTGCCAGAAGATTCTCCCAAAGCCACCATCACTATGGTGGTGTGGAAGCCTCAGATAGTTACCCAGGAGCCCCGTGACTAGAGAGCCAGGTCTGGAGGCAGATGACTTGGGCCCTATTTCTGGCTCCCCCACATCCCCACTGTGTGACCTTGGGCCCTTGCCTGATCTCTCAGGGTCAGCTTTAGCACCTGAGAAATGGGACGTAATAGGGCCCACCTCAGGGGAACAGGAGGAGGACCGAACGCAATAACACAAGCGAGGTGCTTATCTGAGCACCTGGCACACAGTAGGTGCCCCATAAATGCTAGCTAATCTTACTGTAATTCTCAACACCACGGTGCTATGCCGCTACCTCCCATGCCGTGCACTTGGGGTGAGAGCCGCCCACGCAGCAGATGCGATCAGCACCCTGTGTACCTCTAGAGTTGTGCCTCCTGTTCACAGAGGCTGAAGAGCTCGGAGGCTAGAGGCAGACAGGGCAGCCAGCCCAGATCAGCTTCTCCAACACCCAACATGTTCTGGATCGATGTATTTGCCCAGGGAATAAAAACTCATTGTCAAATTAGCCTAAGTACAACGTGTTTAAGAAAGTAACCCTACTTGTTAAGTTACCGTCATCGCACCCTGCACTGCACTTCAAGGCCACAGAGAAGTACTCTGGGCATTATTACCACAGCTCTTGCCCCGCCCGAATGAACTGGAAAGAACAGATAGCGACACAGGGAGATCTGGTTTAGAACTCTGCTTCCACCACTGAGCAGTTCTGAGGCCTTTGGCAAGTTACTTGGCCTCTCTGAGCTTCAGTTTTATGGTTTATAAAATGAGAATCATCCTGGCTCCTTTGGAATGTGCAGTAAGGGTTAAATGCACTTGTGCATTCATCTAAGTATTTCACAAAGAGCAGAAAGCCTCTCATGTACCAGGTGCTGTCCTGGATGCTGTGCTAAAGCAGTGACTAGAAACCCAAGTCCCTGTCCTCAAGGAGCTCACGCTCTTAGCAGAGAAACAAGAGAAGAAAAGGGGATGAACAAATAAGTGATATATATTATGTTCTCTGTTCTCTGTAATACGCCATGTATAATATATTGCCTCTAATATGTCAGTGATAAGAGAAGCTGTGGAGGAAAGTAAAGCAGGGCACAGGTACAAAAACAGTGCTGGGCAGCAGCCACTCCAGTCAGAGAAGGAGAAGGAGGTGACAGTGGACAATTGAGCAAATATCAGAGTGAAGCTAGAGGGAGTCAGTGAGATAAAATGCATCAAGCCATCAGCACAGAGCCTGGACCACCATGATGATGCAGACAAATGGGCAGACGGCTGAGGACGACTAAGACATCGATTCTGGATGCCTGGGTTGTATCCAATTTGCTCCCCAGGCATTCACTGTGCTAGCTCTGAGGGGTCTGTCTTTCCCCTGCCCTCAATATGCTCACAGTCTGGTGGAAAGATCGACAATGAGATAAGTACTCACTGGGATTCCACTCCCTGGTAGGGACCCAAAGGAATTGAAAGTGGGTACTCCAATGTTTGCACAGGAATGTTCCCAGAAGCACTATTCACAATAGCCAAAAGGTGGAAACAACCCAAACATTTGCAGATCAACAAATGGATAAACAACATGTGGTATGTCCATATAGTGGAATATTATTCAGCCATAAAGAGGAATGGGGCACAGCTCCACACGATAATGTGGATGCATCTCAAACACATGATGGTGAGTGAAAGATGCCAGACACAAAAGGTCACCTAGTATATGATTCCATCTTATGAAATGTCCAGAAAAGATAAGTCCACAGAAACAGAAAGCAAATTAGTGGCTGCCAAGGGCTGCAGGGAAGGAGGGAATGGGGAGCACCTACTTAAAAGGGTATGGGGTTTCTTCTTGGGGTGATAAAAGTATTTTG